CGTGGGAACGTTATCGTTTCAGTATTGATGTAAGACTACCCGATTGCCAAAGGATCAAGTTCAAGAAATTATTTGTTCTTCGTGTAACACTTCCAAGGTCAGTGAGTATATGTACGGTATCTACGCTCAATATTCATTCAGAACGCTTTTCTTGCAGCTATATTTAAAGCACGATAATTATTTCGCATTCTGATAAACTATTGAAACGGTTTCCTCAGCAAGCACCTGCCGCCGTAGCGTTGTATAAATAATGGACGCATTAATTTTGTTATCATGAGTCGACCTTCGCTTTTGCATTCGTTTGTAATGCACCTCCAGTCGAACTCGCATCTTGTGATAGCAGCCTCATTTCATATCAGTTGATCGGTTTCAGAAAGACGATAGATTATTCTTTCTGTTTAAAATCATATCATACTATAAACATTATTATTAAATTGTTAAAACATTATTTTCCATGATTGTTCTTCAAGAGACTGTATCTCAACAAGGGAACTGCGTTGGACATTTTTTAGGATAAAACATGTTATATGCTTTACTGCTCAAAAATAGTGCTAAGAAATGTATTATACTGCTGTACAGGGTGTTTCAGTTTATTGGTGCATAACTTTAAGATTCAATAGAACTTTTAAAATTAATGCATAAAGTCTATATAAACATGGGTCGGAAAATGCGTGGCTTCCGAAATACAGGGTGTTTAAATTTACTTTTTAAAATAGTTTTTTTTAAATATTTGGAACGCCACTCATGGCTGAAGAAAATGAGTCCTATTACTTTCCGGACAAACCCTGTATAATGACAATTATACTGATATAGACTGAATATTGGATAGACATCCTACCATGCACAGGCTTTGCCTTCTGTGGGTATTTCATAGTTATTTGCATGTTTTTTATTTCACCTGTAACTGAATTGAAAGCAAATAAATAGTATTATTATTATTATTTAAATAATGACTGTCATAACGTTTACAACCTGTATGTTAGGCATCGTTCGTTGATGACCGATTATGATTTTGAATTGTCAGTAGAAAGCTCTGACATGTTGATCAATGTTCTTTAGCTGAGCGAGAAATGCAATAAGTTTAATGCACCTAACATAACACGTAATGATTATCCAGGCATTAACACACCGTTTTAAGAACCTCACGCACATCGAGGGGCTGCGTGACGACCGTATCGATGTAATATTGTGGTATATACAGGGTGGGACATAACAAAATTCACTTTTGAAAATGATGTAAATGAGAGAAGGTTATACCTAGAAGAGTTTGCAAATGTTTATCATATAAAAGGGCAATGATAATTTATGTTTTAAAAATAATACAGGGTGGCCCATAAGTCCTTTGAGCTGGAAAAAAAGGAATAAAACCAAACTAGTTACATTATGAAGAATTATTATATTTTGTTATCATCTTTATTGAATGGGAATTATGTTTTAAAACTCGCATCGTCTAAATGCAATCCATTACGATCACGGCACTCATATAAACGACGTCTAAAATTGTCGATGACTGCGCGGCAAGTCAGCACTGTAATGCTTGCCATTTCTCTTCGGATATTTTCTTTCAGGACATCAACTGATCGCGGAGTGGTGTCGTACACTTTACTCTTGAGGTAGCCCCATAAAAAGAAGTCCATTGGGGTCAAATCTGGACTACGTGGTGGCCAGGAAATGTCTCCTCATCGAGAAATTACTTTGCTGGGAAAAAGTTGACAGACGACGGGCATAGAAGTGTTGGAGGTGTGGGCAGTTGCTCCGTCCTGTTGAAACCAGGTCTGCGTATTATAGCCTGGAAAATTCTGCAACGCTGGTGTCAAAAACTCTTCTATCGTTGCTACATACCGCTCCGAAGTAACTGTTAATGCGCGACCTCTGTCGTCCTCAAAAAAATAAGGGCCTACGATGCCATGCGCTGACATAGCAGCCCAAACCGTAACTTTAGGGCTGTGTAAGGGCTTCTGATGCTTACGCCTTGGATTTTCGGGGCTCCAATAACGGCAATTTTGTTTATTTACATGTCCGTTTAAATGGAAGTGAGCCTCGTCCGAGAACAACACATTATTGAGCGAAGAAAATCGATTCAACATTTCATTCGCAAAGTTTAGTCTCTGAATAGCGTCATTATCTTTTAATTCCTGCACTAACTGAATTTTGTAAGCGTGCAGACGTAAATCTTTCCTTAAAATCAGCTGTAAAGATGTTCTGGGTACGTTTAGTGCACTGGAACGCTTACGAGTAGACTGGGTAGGATTTTGACGAACAGACTGTGCCACAATGTTGATGTTTTCTTCAATACGAGTTGTCCTTGGTCGACCCCACCGCTGTTTATCTAACGTCGAACCAGTCAACACTCCATGGCGACTGAATTCCCAGACACTGAAGATACTGCCCCCACCTCGCCCGCGCCGCTCACGCTCACCCGTTAAATTTTATTCAAATTTGAAATTTCAAAGGACTTATGGACCACCCTGTATAATCTTACCATTGAATATGTAATTTGTCGGATTACAAGGTACTCTTTTGTGAAAAATTCCGGACTATAGGGGGTCTTAGGCAGTGCTCTATAATCCGACAAATTCGATAGTCCGACACTGCCTTGCATAATGTTTGTCGGATTACCGGAGGTCCGCTGTATGATTAGACTACTTCGCCACTTTCCAGAGAAGAATACTCGAGTCATGAAGCGATTTTCTTTCTTCACGAACAAGAATGTCATTACGATGAACGACTTGTCTTTTTCCTGTCTGAAGATCATCAAAGATAAAGTTTTGTTAGCGAGTTCTACAGTATATTCAGATAAGAGATAGACCGGACATAAACAAGACCACGTGATCATCGAACGCTGTAACATTCGGCAGGGACGTATTAAGAGTCACGCAGTACATATTTTAGATAGTAGATGCTGCTTTGCGTAACTTTGTAGTAAATTAGCACAATTCGATGTGTATACGATTGGTGATGGATATAGGATCATGTGGGGGTGGGGTAAGAAATATATAATGATGTAAATATACATAAGGGTTTCAAAATTTTCGCTTCGATTTCCAGCTTCGGATGCCGCCTGATGTTTGGTGAAATACAGTCGAATATAATCTCAAAATGGCGTTTAAATTAGCCTAAAATTGCTTTTAGAATATTGATTAGTATATTTTTTGATTTCTAGGTAAATATGTAACCAAATTAAAACGTTCAAAACGTAAAAAAATGTGCATGGTTGAACATTGTCAGAAAGTAGATTCTTGAATAGGTTTTGCCAAAATGGGTTCAAAAATGTCAATAATTTATTAAAAAATACAGTAGCTTTATAATTACTTATAACTTACCGAATTTGATGAACGACATCTTTTATTGGAAAGATGAGCTTGATGAGCTTTCATCATCGCTACTGCCTGAAGCACCAACGCCAATAATGAATGGCTCGACTTGTTCCTCTAAAATATTGTCCAGTTCCCACATTCTCTTTTCAACTTTGTCTTTCACGTGCTTAATACAGTTTTCCCATTTTTGCGCTGTTATTAATTCTAGTGCTTCTTTGAAAAGTCCTTCGAGGTCACAAAATTTAAAAGTTGTATTGTGCTTAGCTATATAATTTTTAACCTCTGCCCATATGAGCTCAATGGGATTGAGCTCGCAATGGTATGGAGGTAAACAGAGCACAGTTTTATTTTGACTTGCTGCCATTTCGTCAATGGCGTATTTTTGATATTCCGCCTTGTGATCCTTGACAATTCTTAATAATTGTACTTTCAGCATTGCTTCTGCAAAGTTGATATTTTTCGAGCGGAGCCAATTTTGAATATCAACTTTCCTTGAAGCCGTTGTTGGGACCTTCTCCATTCTTCGAGAATGATAAGGCACATTATCCAACACAATTACTGCGTTTTCCTTTAAGTTCGGTAAAATTTTTGAAAACCACTGTTCAAACGATTCGCCATTCATTTCCTCGTGGTAATCTCTAGTTTTCTTAGACTCAAAGCACCACAGACCGTCAACAACAAATCCATCCTCACTGCCAATATGGCCGATAATGAGCCTTTTCCCTTTACCTGGAAATCGAAGTACTAACTGGTGTAGATTTATTTCAATAAGCGAACCTTTTTCAAATGTTTTCATCACATGAGTATCAGATTGCTATAATTGGGATTATTTAGTCATATTGAAAGAAAGAATATTGAACGTCGTATGATTACTCAGCGCTTCACAATTTAATTTAAAGTTATAAACCTTCAAAAAATGAATGATCAGGAACCTGAAATACGCGCAAATATTAATATTAACAAATTATAACTTTATAAAGCTTAAAGTATGAATTAAAATGATTAGAAATATTAGGAACGGTACACAATATAAAACTTAGTAACTTTTTTTAAGTTTATAATATTCGACATATTTTAAGATTATATTAAAAAATTATTGAAATATCGAAAACACATAAAAAATGGCTTAAAAAAGTTCTAACAAATGAAAATGACAATAAAACATCCTCGCGCTCGTTCTTATATATATTCAAAATGACCTCTTTCATTTCTGCACTCAGGTGTCTTTTTTTAGAGCGTTTCCTAGGTGGACTATAGGAGTTTACAACTTCATCGGCAGTATCTGTACTACTGGGCATTTTGCGCAAGCAGTTGATAACAATAACAATCAATAACAAGGTATAACAATAACAACGCCAAACTCAACAACTTAATAAGATAACAAACGAAAACGTCCAAAGAAATATCAAATTGCAATGATGCACACGACATACGTAACACGTCTGAACCTGAATGTGACTCTGCCTTGATACGACTGCTCTGCCGCTCGGCATAGGCATTTAATTGCGAATTGACCAATGAGGGCTCCTGTTTTACGTCGAGACGGCGGCGTTAGCGTGAAAATCACCCGAACCTTTTGTTTACATCCGGTCTATCTCTTATCTGAATATACTGTAGACTCAGTTTCAGCACTAAAAACTTGTGAAGACGTGGCAGAGTAACTGTATCATTATTCGATTTCAGGCGCTATGCACTGAGGTGTACGAGATGCAGATAAACAGCGAAGCGGCAGCCGCCGCGGTCGCAGCTACGGGGGGCGGCGGAGGCGGCGCAGTCGTAGGCACCGCGGGGGCAGCGGAACCGTGCCGATTCCCGAAGCTGGAGGAGTGCGCGCACTTCCATTACGAGAGGGTGCAGCTGCCGCCACAACTCGACATCACGCTGCAGACGGACGGGATGGATCAGTCGCTGCATTCGCAGCACTCCAGTGAGTAGATCGTGGCCGTAGTTGAGACCGATTGTTTTTATTTTTTTTTATTCAAATATACAGCAGACGCTCGATAACGTAAACACGTTATAATGAAAACTTGCGCTAATGTGAACACAAACTTCGTTCTATAGGATCAAACGGAACGCGCGATAACGTAAACAATGTGTACGCTCGATAACGTAAACAACTCTCGGCGCACGGAAACAGCGCGACGGTCAAATGCTGAAGCCTCGATGATTTATGTCGGGCGTCGGGGAGTCCCCGATTTATGATGTAGAGTGTAGGGGATTCACAGTATCGAAAGCAACAATCTGTGAAATTAAGCGTATGAAAACTCATATTTTACAAAGAACGTGCAATACATTTGGAGGTCCGGGAAAAAGAAAAACTTTAAAAAATGCGAAGGCACCTAAAATGGAAAATTCCCTGTATAAGTGGTTTTTAAAACAACGGGAAAATCATGTGCCAGTTAGAGAGCGAGACTGTTAAATGAAAAACTTAAAGAAACTGAAAATTTCGTAGCTAGTGATGGCTGGCTACAAAGATTCAAAACAAGATATGGAATTCGACTGCTGTCTATATCTGGTGAAAAATTATCAGCACAACCACAATTAGTGCAACCATTCAAAGAAAAATTGATGAAAACAATTAACGAGCTAGATTTAAGAATGGAACAAATTTACAACGCAAATGAAAGTGGCCTTTATTGGAAAATGTTACCAGAGAAAACCTATGCTGCATCATTTGAAAAATCTGCCCCGGGAAGAAAGCCGGAGAAACAACGAATAACGTTTCTAGCCTGCACTAATGCTAATGGTTCACACAAAATAAAGCCACTGGTAATTGGGAAAGCAAACAGTCCGCGCTCATTTAAAAATGTTAATATCCCTGTTGATTATGACTGTTCAAAAACCTCTTGGATGACTAGCAGTATATTCCTGAAATGGTTCCACAGGTGCTTCGTCCCTCAGGTATGACAATCAATTATCACAAATGCTCTATTCATAATTTGAAGATGTGTTTTCAATTTGTAGGTAAAAGGTTTCCTAAAACAACAGAAGCTTCCAATAAAAGCGTTGTTACTATTGGATAATGCACCAAGTCATCCTCCCGAGCAACAACTGAGGAGCAGGGATGGGTCAATTTTCGTCATGTACATGCCGCCCAACGTAACACCGTTAATTCAACCGATGGACCAGAATATAATAAGACTCACCAAACTATACTATAGGAAGTTTCCACTTTCGTCTGTCTTATCAAACAATCCTGAAAACTTATCTGAGGCCTTAAAAAAAGTAACATTACGAGAAGCTGTTTTAGATTTACATATGGCCTAGAATGAACTTAACCAGCAAACTATTAAAAAATGTCTTTTGTACCAATAATGAAGATGATGAAGAAGAAGATGTCCCCTTAAGCGTAATTAGAGAATGTTTGCGATCCAATAATGATAATGTTATTGGTGTGTCATTGGATGTTGTTGATTTATTGAAAACAGTGAATCCCAACATTGTTTGTACTCCTGCTGATATTAATTTATGGAACGAAGATAAGCAGACGAATGATGCTGATAAGGAGGAGGATATAGACAGTGAGGATGATGAGAACGATACCATTGAAGTCAGAAGTGTAGTGACTGACGCGCAAGCTATACAAGTTTTAGATTGGGCTGAAAGAAAAGAAGTTTCATACACGGATATTTTAGTTCTTCGTAAATTTACGCAGACAAAAATTGTTAATTATTTTTCTTTTAATTAAAAAAATACTTATCGCTTTTAGAATATTTGTTTATTTTGTTATAAATAGTTTGTATTAATTGCTTCTTTTAATAAATCAAATAAATCACGTTCGCTAATGTAAACATTTCGATAATGTGAACCACACTTGGATTAAATTAGTTTACATTATCGAGCGCCCGCTGTAATTATAATTTTATATTGGCGCCCTCAAAATAACTTCCTCTTGAAAAATAAATCTAGAAAAATCAGTATAAAAAAAAATTGTACGTTAAGAACAAGATATCGAGATGCGGTTTTCACGAGCTTATTTAGACATCATCTAGCTACTCTTTCATAAAAAAAATCATTTCCCACTACATTTAATTGTTTCGAATAAATTAACCAGTTCTGTCCGGATGTCGAAAAAATCCCTCTAGCGGCCACCTGACAAAATAAAACAAATATTACCACATTTGTAGCCCAATAACTCTTTTTAACTAGTCCAAATTTGTTTAAATCGGCTCAGCCGTTTCGAAGATACAGGCCGTTTTTACGGAGACCTTTTTAACACCCCCCACCACTTTATTTTTAGAGATACAGTTAAAATTGTCAAACAAAAAAGGTTCGCATTATCCCCGACTTTGATCAGGTACTTTTTTTTGATAGGTTAATGTAGCTGAATTCATAGAAACATTCAAGATTGCAGCTACGCCCACTAGTGGCCATTTCAGAAACTCAAACATATTTTCGAGGTTTTTCTCTTGGCCGTTTTATTAATGTTTTTTTTTTCGCCTCAAGCCTCTACGATGAATAGGTTCCCAGATACAGTATTAATATACAGGGTGGCCCATCGAAAAGAAAACGAAAGAGACGCGTTTACTGGCAGCTCAGTTTTTTTTTTTTTTTGGAAAAACGCTCAGACCCGTCGATTTTGTTTTCGAGCGGGACACAAGTTTGGTAAAAAATCACGTTAAAACGTGCAACCCCCTAAGCGGAGGTGGCACCACCCCCATAATCTTAAATGGAAAGGGGGGTCGAGTGATACCTTATTTTAAAGGTCTTTCAATTCCCTTTATAATGATGTAAAATACATGAGCTTCAGTAGTTTTGAAGATTTATTGATTTAAAGCTTAAAGCAGACTTTAATAGGTGCATCAGATTAGTTTGTACTACTTTCAGAAGAAATTTGACTAAATGAATTTACTTAATAAGTAAATGCTTTTCTTCACTACGCCCATGGTTTGTTCATCATTTTGTTGTTGAAAATAGCTATTTGAGCGTTTTTTTGTGGAAAAAACTTATTTGTGGAAGAAAGATAAGGAAATATCTCGTACTTATTTTAAATAGGAATTTAGTACATAGTTTGCGATTGATTTAATAATAATAATAATAATAATAATAATAATAATAATAATAATAATAATAATCGTCTTTATTGACCAAAACATGGTACATTACATGGGGCGAGATTTAGCACCTGCTATTCCACCATCTAACCCCGTACAAAAGTGAGAAAAAAAAAACAAGTTATACAAAAAAAAGTGAAACTACAAAGATTAAGTCACAGTATAATAGGACTATTTATGCCAATTTAGCTATAAAAAGAAGAAGAGATAATAGGTTATGAAGAAACGGAAAAATAACTAATGAAAAATAAAAAAAAGTATGAAAATAAAAGAACTTCTTAAGCTAACTAGTTGTTTTGCAATTCTTGTAAATATCTTTTTGACTGAGTTTTAAAACTCCGGGAAGACTGGATAGTCTTGACCAAACTTTGTTGCTAAAATAACTTGTAGCGCTTCATTACATAAATTAACCATGGTATATTCCACAGCAGAACGAGTTGAAATTATCGAAATATTTTTCGTAAATAATCAGTGCGCTAATAGAACAGCAGAAATATTTAACGAGCGACTTAAGATCAGTAACGTGTATCGAAAATCCGCGATTACAATTTTGTGAAGATATGAGCGAACGAATTATAAACGATAAACATTTTCTATTCAACACTTGCTTTTCCGACGAATGTTCCTTTTTCTTAAATGGCGTAGTAAATCGTCATAACTGCCGATATTGGTCCGATTCTAATCCCAGAATTCATAATGAGGTTCATGCACAGCAAAAATTAAATGTTTGGGCTGGTATTTTTGACGATCATTTATTTTTTCCTTTTTTCTTGGAAATTTGAACGGTGAAATGTATTTGGAATTATTGGAGACGCCATAGATCCTGCATTAACAGCCATAATTGAAAATCAGAATGATCGGCGGTACATTGCGAATAAGTTGATGTTCCAACATGATGGTGCCCCACCACATTACGCATTACGTGTTCGACAATATTTAGATCAGACGTTTCCAGATCGATGGATCGGTAGAATGTCCTCCAAGATCGCCAGATTTATCACCTTTGGATTTCTTTATGTGGGGTCATTTAACAAGCAAAATCTATGCTACTCAGCCAACATCACCTGCGACAAAGAATTGTGAATGAGTGCCTTCAAATTACTTGTCAAATATTGCAAAATGTGCGGCAACATTTTGAGCAAAATCTTTATTATTGCATGGAGAGTCATGGTGGCCATTTTCAACATTTACTTGCCTAACGGGTCAGTTCATTCTTCATTTTTAAATTACTTTGCTGCCAAATGTATTGATCTCGACTAATGATGATGTATTAGTTTTATTTAAGCTTTAAATCAATAAATCTTCAAAACTACTGAACTGAAGTACATTAATTTTATATCATTATAAAGGGAATTGAAAGACCTTTAAAATAAGGTATCACTCGACCCCCCTTTCCATTTAAGATTATGGGTGTGGTGTCACCCCCGCTTAGGGTGATTTTTTGTCAAACTTGTGTCCCCCTCGAAAACAAAATCGACGGGTCTGAGCGTTTTTCCAAAAAAAAAAACAGAGCTGCCAGTAAATGCGTCTGTTTCGTTTACGATGCGCCACCCTGTATATTATGAATAATAGAGGTCCCAGATTTGATCCCTGAGGCACCCCTGAAGTAGAAGTATGAGGCATATACTCGACGATTTGCGTTCTGTCTATAATACTGCGTCAGCTATACTGCAAATAATTCTCAGTGCAAAGGTTTGAGCAGTATCACCTGAAATTTTCTACGCAACTTTTGTGCAGCTTTTCACCACTTGGCCTTGATTTTTTATTTTTTAGATATATTAAATTTTCACGCAACTTTTGTGGAGCTTTTCACCACTTGGCCTTGATTTTTGATTTTTTCGATATATTAAATTTTCACGCAACTTTTGTGGAGCTTTTCACCACTTGGCCTTGATTTTTTATTTTTTCGATATATTAAATTTTCACGCAACTTTTGTGGAGCTTTTCACCACTTGGCCTTGATTTTTTATTTTTTCGATATATTAAATTTTCACGCAACTTTTGTGGAGCTTTTCACCACTTGGCCTTGATTTTTTATTTTTTCGATATATTAAATTTTCACGCAACTTTTGTGGAGCTTTTCACCACTTGGCCTTGATTTTTATTTTTTCGATATATTAAATTTTCACGCAACTTTTGTGGATCTTTTCACCACTTGGCCTTGATTTTTTATTTTTTCAATATACATATTAAATTTTCACGCAACTTTTGTGGAGCTTTTCACCACTTGGCCTTGATTTTTTATTTTTTCGATATATTAAATTTTCACGCAACTTTTGTGGAGCTTTTCACCACTTGCCTTGATTTTTGATTTTTTCGATATATTAAATTTTCACGCAACTTTTGTGGAGCTTTTCACCACTTGGCCTTGATTTTTTATTTTTTCGATATATTAAATTTTCACGCAACTTTTGTGGAGCTTTTCACCACTTGGCCTTGATTTTTTATTTTTTCGATATATTAAATTTTCACGCAACTTTTGTGGAGCTTTTCACCACTTGCCTTGATTTTTGATTTTTTCGATATATTAAATTTTCACGCAACTTTTGTGGAGCTTTTCACCACTTGGCCTTGATTTTTTATTTTTTCGATATATTAAATTTTCACGCAACTTTTGTGGAGCTTTTCACCACTTGGCCTTGATTTTTTATTTTTTCGATATATTAAATTTTCACGCAACTTTTGTGGAGCTTTTCACCACTTGCCTTGATTTTTGATTTTTTCGATATATTAAATTTTCACGCAACTTTTGTGGAGCTTTTCACCACTTGGCCTTGATTTTTTATTTTTTCGATATATTAAATTTTCACGCAACTTTTGTGGAGCTTTTCACCACTTGGCCTTGATTTTTTATTTTTTCGATATATTAAATTTTCACGCAACTTTTGTGGAGCTTTTCACCACTTGGCCTTGATTTTTTATTTTTTCGATATATTAAATTTTCACGCAACTTTTGTGGAGCTTTTCACCACTTGGCCTTGATTTTTTATTTTTTCGATATATTAAATTTTCACGCAACTTTTGTGGAGCTTTTCACCACTTGGCCTTGATTTTTTATTTTTTCGATATATTAAATTTTCACGCAACTTTTGTGGAGCTTTTCACCACTTGGCCTTGATTTTTTATTTTTTCGATGTATTAAATTTTCACGCAACTTTTGTGGAGCTTTTCACCACTTGGCCTTGATTTTTTATTTTTTCGATATATTAAATTTTCACGCAACTTTTGTGGAGCTTTTCACCACTTGGCCTTGATTTTTTATTTTTTCGATATATTAAATTTTCACGCAACTTTTGTGGAGCTTTTCACCACTTGGCCTTGATGTTTTATTTTTTCGATATATTAAATTTTCACGCAACTTTTGTGGAGCTTTTCACCACTTGGCCTTGATTTTTTATTTTTTCGATATATTAAATTTTCACGCAACTTTTGTGGAGCTTTTCACCATTTGGCCTTGATTTTTTATTTTTTCGATATATTAAATTTTCACGCAACTTTTGTGGAGCTTTTCACCACTTGGCCTTGATTTTTTATTTTTTCGATATATTAAATTTTCATTCAACTTTTGTGGATCTTTTCACCACTTGGCCTTGATTTTTTATTTTTTCGATATATTAAATTTTCACGCAACTCTTGTGGAGCTTTTCACCACTTGGCCTTGATTTTTTATTTTTTCGATATATTAAATTTTCACGCAACTTTTGTGGAGCTTTTCACCACTTGGCCTTGATTTTTTATTTTTTCGATATATTAAATTTTCACGCAACTTTTGTGGAGCTTTTCACCACTTGGCCTTGATTTTTTATTTTTTCGATATATTAAATTTTCACGCAACTTTTGTGGAGCTTTTCACCACTTGGCCTTGATTTTTTATTTTTTCGATATATTAAATTTTCATTCAACTTTTGTGGATCTTTTCACCACTTGGCCTTGATTTTTTATTTTTTCGATATATTAAATTTTCACGCAACTTTTGTGGAGCTTTTCACCACTTGGCCTTGATTTTTTATTTTTTCGATATATTAAATTTTCACGCAACTTTTGTGGAGCTTTTCACCACTTGGCCTTGATTTTTTATTTTTTCGATATATTAAATTTTCACGCAACTTTTGTGGAGCTTTTCACCACTTGGCCTTGATTTTTTATTTTTTCGATATATTAAATTTTCACGCAACTTTTGTGGAGCTTTTCACCACTTGGCCTTGATTTTTTATTTTTTCGATATATTAAATTTTCACGCAACTTTTGTGGAGCTTTTCACCTCTTGGCCTTGATTTTTTATTTTTTCGATATATTAAATTTTCACGCAACTTTTGTGGAGCTTTTCACCACTTGGCCTTGATTTTTTATTTTTTCGATATATTAAATTTTCATTCAACTTTTGTGGATCTTTTCACCACTTGGCCTTGATTTTTTATTTTTTCGATATATTAAATTTTCACGCAACTTTTGTGGAGCTTTTCACCACTTGGCCTTAACTTTTTATTTTTTCGATATATTAAATTTTCACGCAACTTTTGTGGAGCTTTTCACCACTTGGCCTTGATTTTTTATTTTTTCGATATAATAAATTTTCACGCAACTTTGTGGAGCTTTTCACCATTTGGCCTTGATTTTTTATTTTTCCGATATATTCGATTTCAGCGAACGAAGACACGGAAACGGAATGGTTCATGGTGCAAGTAACGTCCGGTGACGCTTGCTGGTTGATACAAAGGAACTTCGATAACTTCCAAATGCTGGACGCTCAACTGCATCAGTGCATCTTCGACAGAAAGATCTCCCAGCTGGAGGACCTTGCTCAGCTGTCACCAGACGACGATGCTTTAGAGGTAAGAATTTCGATTTGCAGCAATTCTTGTTTAAGAGCGTGCAGTTTTATCACTAATGACTATTGTATGTAACACTGTTCGTTCGACTTGGTACCGAAAGATGCTAAGCGGCAATCTCGGTATGTAAACAAAGTTTGGGTCTTTGATGATGATGATATTTAGAAAAAAATGGTAGCTGTATTTTTTAAATCGAGCGGGATTGTGGAGCGTGTCGTTTTGGAGAGACAGAAGACAGTCACAGCTAAGTGGAAGCGGAACAGCGCCTGCCTAAAGTTATAGAAACCTGCGGCCAAAGTCGACAATGGACACTTGGTACCTCCACCAAGTCATATTGCAAAACTTTCATAGTACCCTTCGTACAAACGAGCATCCAATAGTGATAAAAGGTCGTTAGTTAAAAATATCGAGAATATAATTTATATTTCTAAGCATATTTTCCAGCAAGACCACCAACCAAGTTCAGTATACTATCCATATGCTTCATAAAATCCCGAACACGCGAACTATTTCTCCCTTTGACTTGCTCTTCCTCGCTCAAACGGAGGCACTAAGACGCAACCGCAATAAATTCCATCGTTAAACTCTGAACAAGATGTCGTTAATAGAGTGCTACGTCGCGCGGCTGAATCCGATATTCGATGAAATATCGCGAGGAAAAAAAGATCTGGCAACGATCCAAAGTATTTTGGCGATTTGGCGTGGGAGATGCCTCAATAAAATTATTACTTGGACTTTATAGCTGAGGCGTCCCCGTTTGTCGGACATGTTTGTTAGTGCAATTATTCTTACAGGGTGTACGCGTTATGGTAGTCAAAAAGTTCATATGACCCATGGTCCAAAAGTCAATAGATTATTGTCTAAATGGCTTTACAGTTCACAACTTTAAGTGCTTCTTACTAATTTTTGTAATCTAATCTAAAACGTTTTTAAATTGGGTCATTAACAAATAAATGGCATTAAGTTAAGCCAAAATTTGTAGTCAGTAAGTTTCATTAAATTAAATATTTAAAACACACATGACAACAGCGCGTCGGTCATTCATCACTCTTATCGAACCGGCAATCGATCGCAAACGGTAACAGTGGTTAGCATGTTGTTTTGTTTTTGTTCGCGTACGTCGTCGTGTTTATTTACAATTTTCTCGAATCAAGAGTGCGCTGACATGTTGTTAGTTTACGGTGAAGCTCGTCAGGATTCAAATCTTGCAGCTCAAATTTATAGCGACAGATTTCGCCAACTGGTACACCCAGACAGAAGGGCATTTGTGCAAGTGTACCACAAACTTCGAGATACAGCTCACTAATATTCGCACTCGTGAAAGATAGGTTACTGTAGAGCAGGAGGAACAAATTTTAAATGTCGTGGATATTAAATTTCCATGATACTCACACGTGGGCCCAAGAAAATCCTCATACTATTCGCCAAGGTCATTTCCAACAACGTTTTAAAATAAATATTTGGGCGGGTATTCTTGACGATCAGATAACGCTGGACAACAAATTTTAGTTTTTTAATTGTATCTTGTGGGAAAAGTGCACCTCTTTGTTAATTTTGGGGCGCTGAATCCAAAAATGACAATGAAATAAAAAAATTAGTTGCGGTTTAGAAAAAAAACTTTTTATTTTTAAGGATATATCAAAAAAAGTAACAAGATTTATATACTTATAAGAATCACTATATGCGCTGTCTTTTTGCTGTTCTTTTATGGATCGTTTCTGGAGCATCTCTACCAAGAGTCCAACAGTAGTCTGCAAGCATGGAAGGATTCCACTTTCCCTGGTACCTTTTTTCCATTGTTGAAATATCCTGATGAAAACGTTCGCCGTGCTCATCACTTACGGCTCCGCAATTGTCAGGAAAAAAGTCCAGGTGTGAGTGTAGGAAATGTATCTTAAGAGACATATTACAGCCCATCTTTTGATGCGATGACAGCATATTTTTGACAAGGGTTTTATAGTTGTCAGCTTTTCTATTTCCCAAGAAATTAGTGACCACCAGACGGAAATCATTCCAAGCAGTTTTTTCAATACCTGTTAAAGTGTTTTCAAACTGTGTATCTTTCAAAATATTTCGAATCTGTGGCCCAACAAAAATACCTTCTTTAACCTTTGCCTCACTTAGTCTTGGAAATTTCTGACGCAGGTATTGAAAAGCTGACCCATCTCTATCTAATGCCTTGACAAAGTTTTTCATTAGGCCCAACTTGATATGCAGTGGTGGTAATAAATTTTTTTTCGAATCTACTAATGGCATATGCTGTACATTTTTTTGACCTGGCTCTAGGAATTGACGAACAGGCCAGTTTTGTCTGGTGTAATGAAGTGCCTGTGCCCGACTGTCCCATTCACACAAAAAACAGCAAAACTTTGTGTAGCTTAGCTGCAGCCCAAGTAAAAGTGCAACAACTTTTAAATCGCCACAAATATGCCATTGGTGCTCATCGTATTTTATGCATGTCAATAGGTACTTCATATTGTCATATGATTCTTTCATGTGAACTGCATACCCTACAGGAAGAGATGGTAAAATATTTCCAATATGCAATAACACTGCCTTTAAACTCAATGTTGACCTGTCTATGAACAATCTCCATTCCTCTGGGTTATAGTTTATATTTAAAGCCGCCAGTAAGCCGTTAATGTTACTGCAGAAAACCAAGTTATTCTCCATATTGAAAAATGGTTCTAAGTCTTTCTGGCGTTTACGAAAAACACATACCGAAACATCGTCTTCTAACAAGTTCCACTGCTGCAGTCTTGATCCAAGTAACTCTGCCTTACATTTTGGAAGTTCTAAATCTCTTACAAGATCATTTAATTCTGACTGTGTTATTTTGTGCGGTTGGTGGCATGACGTGCTCGGTATAAAATCAGGATCTCTTGACGTTGATGGCATATCTTCTTCCTGACGAATCACTCGATCGCCATGATCTGATTCGTTTTCTGATTCGCAAGTGTATGATTCTGGGGGTTTTGGAATAGGATTTTCGTCACTGTGAGGCACAGGTTTCATCGCAGATGGTATGTTTGGGTGGTTAATAACAGATTTTTTTTCTTGGACATACTTGTGGCTTGTCCAACACAAGGTACCATGCAAAAGTAACAATCATTAATATGATTTGTAGGCTCTCTCCAAACCATTGGGACAGCAAAGCGCATAGACCGTTTTTGCCATTTAACCAGCTCCTCAGACTTGAAGCACATGTATTACAGCAGATGTGGGGTGCCCACTGTTTGTCTTGATCACCTAGTTTACAACCGAAATAAAGCTGATATGCCTTTGTTATTAATGGAGTAATAGACCGTCTCTGAGACGCAAAAGTCACATCACCACACACGTAACAAAACTGATCTGGATTGTATTGTTTACTCACTTTCGAGACATCTTGCATGAACGCTGTCAGCCAACTGAGGAAAAAATGGCTAATATAAAACAATATAATGTACACGTATGTATAACGTAACACAATCATTCCGATTACATCATCTTTCCTTGCCGAATATAAAAATGTAGCACGTACATTCTTGTGAATTACAGTATATTAACACTGTCACAGCAGGAACACATATAATTACCGTATCTCTAAAACTTGAACTAATATTGAAAAAATAAGTTTCATTCCGGTTTTAGCACATTAAAAATAGTAATATTTTGTTGATTTTATTTAGGATATTTTTTGGCTGTTGATCAGTGTAATTGGTCCTTTCGAGTTACCCCCAAAGTTGTCAGGAGAAGGATACCTTAGCTTTCTAGCCAATAACCTACCAGAACTTTTCGAACAGACCCTAGACAACATTCCATTACAACGGAGACAGAATTTGTGGCTTCTTCATGACGGGGCACCCCCACACATTTTTAGAGGCGTCATTCAGTATTTGAATGAACATTATCCAAATTGCTGGATCGGTCGAAATGCTCCTGATCCTCGAAAATGGCTAGCAAGATCTCCTGACCTCAATCCGATGGATTTCTGGTATTGGGGAGAACTTAAAGGGATGGTTTATGGGGCTGGTCCAATATGAAACTTTTTGCTTCTTCTCTATCACCCATTTAAATAATGACTACCGTGACGTTTACACCCTGTATACGAGAGTTGAATCAGAAACAGGTGTCAGACGGTACAATACAGGGAAAACTCGCATATCTCTCGTACACAACTCAAGTCGTCAGACAAATTTGGTTCTCTCTGTACGAACAAACGTGAAATATTCAATTTTTTTTCCAGAGCAAATTGCTCCGGTACTTGGAGCGATTCAGCCAGATAGCGGACAACTCTGTGAATTGCGGTCCGGTGCTGAATTGGTTGCAGATGGACAACAAAGGCAGGAGGCTGTTAGTGCCGAGCGAGGAGAGCAGATCTATTAACACTCCGGCCGTTGCAGCTGCTTACAGCGTCAGGCGATACGTTTCACAGGTACACTTGTTATGGGGGTAATCTTTCGGGCCCGGTTTTACCATTGATCAGGGTCGAAAATCTAATAAATCTAAATAATAATAAATAAACTGGTGGACATTTGCTTTGCAACATGGAAAATTTTGGCTAGAATACACAAGATCAAGAAACCGTTCTGTAGCAGTACTACGAGATGAAAAGAAAAAATGTTACAATGCAAAATTGGTCAGAGTAAAAATAATAGCGAACATATATGGAAAACGTTGAAAAATATTGTTTCTACTTTTAGAAAAAGTATATTATCTAAAATAAAATTCGACGATGGGGTAATAACAAATGAAGAAATAATAGCAGATCGAATGAATACCTATTTCATATAAAGTAGTAGTAGTACTAGAAAGATTTATTTAGCACATTTGGCTACATAAACAGAACAATTGTAAACAACTTAGAACTAGTAAATTCAAGCCATATGGTGTATGATGTAAATGCTGGGCAACCTATAATTGTAGATTTAACAAGTGATTTCTCAATTTTACTTTCAATTTTGTCAAAGTTTTCTGGTCTTTTATCTCCAAGTATAATTTATTATATTCAATCAACCCTTGATGGAATACAGATTTATAGCATATGTTATACTTTTTGGTCATTAAATGGAAGTCATCTTTATTTCTGGTATTATGTAAATGATGGTCGACATTTGATGATGTTAAATTAGTTAGACTTGATGGAAATATATTATTTTTTACTTTATGAATGAATATCATTACAAGAAAAATTTTTACATTGAGCCCTTTTAATTTGCTAAGCATTTGCCTAATTGGAGTATATTTATCTTTATTTAGTATTATTCTCATGCACTTATTTTGTAAAATTTGCAGTCTTTCAAAAATGGAATTATTTGCTAAATATAGAATAGTCGAACAGTACAAGAAATTTGGAAGAATGATGGTATTATAGATAATTTTTCTGCTATATGAACTCAGACATCCAGAAACTCTCTATAAATATTCCACTTTACTACTAATCTTATTTATAACTTTTTCATAATGAATATCAAAAATTAATCGATAGTCAACAAAAACTCCCTGGTATTTAAAATTTTCTACGAATTCAATATCTTCACCATCAATATTCAGTTGAACATTTGTACATTGTTTTTTTCCGATTAACAAGGCTTTCGTTTTACTTGCATTTAATTTTAGTCTGTTAGATGCTAACCATTTTGAGACAAGCTTCAAGTCTTCATTTATATAAGAGATACCAGACTGAATATTTTTAGTACTTATATAAATCATAGTGTCATCGGCGAAAATTTGAATTTTGCATTTTTTGACTATGGCAGGTAAATCATTTATGTATAAAATAAAAAGAAGTGGTCCCAGGATACTGCCCTGTGGAACACCCAACGTATTTTCAATTTTTGATGAAATAGTGTCATTAACTTTTGTAACTTGCATCCTTTCAGACAAATAATTTCTAAACCAATCTAAAACACTTCCTGTTATACCATATGCCTTCAATTTACCTAACAAAATATCTCTATCAATCGTTTCAAATGCCCTCTTCAAATCCAAAAATACTGCTATGACAACTTCTTCTGAGTCTATGGCTCTTCTCCAATTCTCAGTTACCAACTGGAAAGCTGTTTCTGTGGAATATTTTTTCGAAAGCCTGCTTGCGCCTCCACTAAAATTTTGTTTTCTTCTATAAACTGCATTAATTGGTCATGCACTATGGACTCTAATAATTTTTCAATGTCTGGTAACACATTTATCGGTCTCATATCGCTGCATCTTTTAGAATTTTTTATTTTGGGAACTGGTGTTATTGTAGAGCATTTCAAATTTTCAGGGAAAGAACTGCTTCTCAGTGAACAATTGATCCAATTTAATACAGGATATCCCAAAATTTCGAAACAGTTTTTCAGCACGTTTTTAGTAGTCATTTCGGCACAGTTGTTATTTGATTTTAAACTGTTTACTTTTTTTCTTAGATAATTCAATGATACGCTGTGAAATTTTGAAAGTGTATGCAACATTTCCCCCTGGAAACTGATTTTCATATAGTCAGATGCAGCATTGGCAGTTCCTACAATATCAACAATACTTTCCACAAAATATTCATTTAGTTTGTTTGCAATCACCAAAGAATTTATTTCGGTACCGTTTTCGAATTGAACTTGATTTACACAATCATGCTTCTTCGAATTGATCAGTCTTTTTAAAGTCTTCCACATCTTTACACTGTCGCACTTGTTATTATCGATTTGTTTATCGTAGAATTTTCTTTTTTCTTCTCTAAAGTGTCAACAACATTGTAAAATCAATTACTATTCAATGTTCCATTAGCTCAGATTATAATGCATCATTCAGTGAGTTTAGAACAATAAACATTAATCATCTCAAGATTATATCAAAAATTAAATCAAATCAAAATAAGAGTGAGATTTTGTCTAAAAGTGTGCTTAACGAATCTTTTGATATTATTAGAGCAAGAATATTATTCCTGATAAATTACCGTTTGAAATGTGTCGAATTTCCAACAAAACTGAAGTGTGCTACCATAACTCCTGTTTCTGAAGTTAAGAATTCTGAGTTGTACACCAATATGCGGCCAATAAATGTTCTGCCAGATGTTGAAAGAGTTTTTGAAGATATTATTCACGAACAAATGTTGCATACACTTTCAAAATTTCACAGCGTATCATTGAATTATCTAAGAAAAAAAGTAAACAGTTTAAAATCAAATAACAACTGTGCTGAAATGACTACTAAAAACGTGCTCAAAAACTGTTTCGAAATTTTGGGATATCCTGTATTAAATTGGATCAATTGTTCACTGAGAAGCAGTTCTTTCCCTGAAAATTTGAAATGCTCTACAATAACACCAGTTCCCAAAATAAAAAATTCTAAAAGATGCAGCGATATGAGACCAGTAAATGTGTTACCAGACATTGAAAAATTATTAGAGTCCATAGTGCATGACCAATTAATGCAATTTATAGAAGAAAACAAAATTGTAGTGCAGGCGCAAGCAGGCTTTCTAAAAAGATATTCCACAGAAACAGCTTTCCAGTTGGTAACTGAGAATTGGAGACGAGCCATAGACTCAGAAGAAGTTGTCATAGCAGTATTTTTGGATTTGAAGAGGGCATTTGAAACGATTGATAGAGATATTTTGTTAGGTAAATTGAAGGCATATGGTATAACAGGAAGTGTTTTAGATTGGTTTAGAAATTATTTGTCTAAAAGGATGCAAGTTACAAAAGTTAATGACACTATTTCATCAAAAATTGAAAATACGTTGGGTGTTCCACAGGGCAGTATCCTGGGACCACTTCTTTTTATTTTATACATAAATGATTTACCTGCCATAGTCAAAAAATGCAAAATTCAAATTTTCGCCGATGACACTATGATTTATATAAGTACTAAAAATATTCAGTCTGGTATCTCTTATATAAATGAAGACTTGAAGCTTGTCTCAAAATGGTTAGCATCTAACAGACTAAAATTAAATGCAAGTAAAACGAAAGCCTTGTTAATCGGAAAAAAACAATGTACAAATGTTCAACTGAATATTGATGGTGAAGATATTGAATTCGTAGAAAATTTTAAATACCTGGGAGTTTTTGTTGACTCTCGATTAATTTTTGATATTCATTATGAAAAAGTTATAAATAAGATTAGTAGTAAAGTGGGATATTTATCGAGAATTTCTGGATGTCTGAGTTCATATAGCAGAAAAATTATCTATAATACCATCATTCTTCCAAATTTCTTGTACTGTTCGACTATTCTATATTTAGCAAATAATTCCATTTTTGAAAGACTGCAAATTTTACAAAATAAGTGCATGAGAATAATACTAAATAAAGGTAAATATACTCCAATTAGGCAAATGCTTAGCAAATTAAAATGGCTCAATTTAAAAAAATTTATCAAATATCTTGTAATGATATTCATTTATAAAGTAAAAAATAATATATTTCCATCAAGTCTAACTAATTTAACATCATCAAATGTCGACCATCATTTACATAATACCAGAAATAAAGATGACTTCCATTTATTGACCAAAAAGTATAACATATGCTACAAATCTGTATTCCATCAAGGGTTGATTGAATATAATAAATTATACTCGGAGATAAAAGACCAGAAAACTTTGACAAAATTTAAAGTAAAATTGAGAAATCACTTGTTAAATCTACAATTATGGGTTGCCCAGCATTTACATCATACACCATATGGCTTGAATTTACTACTTCTAAGTTGTTTACAATTGTTCTGTTTATGTAGCCAAATGTGCTAAATAAATCTTTCTACTACTACTACTAGATCATATCATCGGATTTACTGAGGGAAATAACATTTTAACCATCTTTATTGAAAATGTTTACCAATAGATAATATAATCTATTTAATTTTTAAACAACATCAAATAATTTATTGATCAACATTAACAGTATGTAAAGACCAGTCAAATGCCTAAACTATTTATGACAAACACAAACTTTTTATCAAAAAAAGCAACAGTTATTTTAAACAATATTGTTAGTACCTTGTCTGACATAGAGTCTATTCCTAGAAGTTTTACTGGTTCATATCTCACAACACAGCTGTCGGAGAAAAATATATTTTGTGCCTTGTTTTCATAGTATCATGAACAATTATTTTATCCTCCAGGCGCGAGACGAGCTAAATCTGGAGGTAGGCGATATGATATCTGTGATCGACATGGCTAGTCCCGGGGAGTCGATGTGGTGGCGAGGAAAAAGGGGCTTCCAGGTTGGCTTCTTCCCGCAATACTGCGTCCACATAATAGGAGACAAGGTGCCTAGAAACATGCCGTTGCCGCCACCTGTCGTTGGGTAAGACGATTTTTCAATTATTTTCGATACTGATATAGGCTTATGTCCACTAGAAATGCATTAGATGGACGATATATTACAGAAGACAATATCATTTATCACAAGAACTATAGATTATCGTAGTCGTAGTCACGTGACACGAGACACCAATCAGAAAGTGTTGACATCTTTATACAGCGAGGATATCACTCAAGAGATATTTTTAATTTTTAGCATTTTTTGTAATGATTGAGAAACAAATTTAATCCGCAATGGAATCAGGATTCATCAAAGCAAATAGCAGTACTTTACCTAAAGCCTATGCTTGGAAAATTTTTCGGATCCGACGCGGATTTTTGTTCATCAGAATTCTGTAATTTTAAAACTTCAATGTATTCATGTATATACAACATATTTGTTTTATGCTCAAATGGTATTGCTTCAGTTTTGTAGACAATAAACTTTTACTTTGGCGTGCATAAGCAAGTTACAGGTTTTGAGGTTAGATTTGTGCAGTATAAACATAGCTAAATTTGAAAAAAAGTTTTTAAAACATGGATCAGGAAATGCAGAGATACAGGTGATAAATAAAAAAAAATTAATATCTCAAAAAATGTTCACTCGATTCTGTTGAAAATTGGCAATATTATTTTTTGTATTTGTATATTTTTTGTCATGGCACCTATCGAAAAATTGCAGTAACACTCTTTCCTACATTTTTTTTGTTTTCCAAGGCACTTTTAGCAAAAATTGATAAACCTATTTTGTCCAGTGACATTCAATAAAACTGTTTTTATTTTTTTTCTCGAAAACGAAGTGATATACGTAAAAAATACAAGAGGCAAAGAACTTGTATTTTCAGATGCTTAATCAAACAAAAGTTACAAAAAAGGCAATGACGTACATTTTTTCGCAAATAATATTCGCCAAGGTCCCTCCCGGGACGGTACTAGACCTAATAATTTTAATCTATTTATCGCTAAATTAGCCTCTTAATACAACAAATTTAAGATACTAATAATTATTTTTTTTCAAATTCATCGCCATAAATCTTGAAAATTCCGTATTTCCAGACGCATGTTCATAGACACTTTTTTTCATATTTTTTAACCCTCCGTCTACTTTTCGAACACCCTGCATCATTACGCATTTTTTTAAAATTTCGTCATCTACATATTATTCTTCGTAGCTCATTGGCGCTGAACCAGATCAAACCAGTTCTACGGAAGCACGGCAAGTTGATCACCTTTTTCCGGAGTTTCATCGTGAACCGGCCGTCTCGGCGGCGTTTGAAACAGTCGGGCATACTGAAGGAGCGCGTTTTCGGCTGTGATCTTGGCGAGCATCTGCTGAACTCCGGCAACGACGTGCCGGCCGTGCTCAAATGTTGCGCCGAATTCATCGAGAGAAACGGGATCGTCGACGGGATATATAGGTATTTATTCCTTTTCTAATTGCTTTTACATTTGATTACAGCATCACAAACTGTCGTTGTACTGTATCGCCAGAATTGGCGGCATCTAGCGGTCACAGTGGTAGCAGTTTCAATAGGTAGCTGTTGTTCACTCTCGCATCAGTAGTCGATTCTAGTAATAGATGTTTTGTTGTTGTTGAAGATTTATTTAGCATAATGCTACAATGTCAATTTTGTATAATATTCGGGTACATATTTTTCTTCCATCCATTTTCTGTAATTTTACATTCTTGTCTATTAAAATTGTAATTGCGTCACTATGTATTTTGATTATTCATAAAGTGATTTTTTAATTTCACCTTAAACATTTTTAAGTTCGAACTTTATTTAATATCATGAGTCAATTTATTAAATTCAAATACTCTCTTTTGAAATATAGATTTACTAGTTATGCTACTATTACAATTTTGCAGATGAAAATCTATACTGCCTCTAGTTTCGTAGTTATAGCTATTTAATTTTGTGAATTTCTCTAAATGTGGTGGTAATAAATGATTTTTTAATTTGAATACGAAAACGAGAACTAAATAATATATCAAATTTTTCACATCCAACCCCTGCAGTTCTTCTAACATAGACCTAATCCTAGCATATTTGTTTTTATTTAAGATGATTCTCATAGCTTTATTTCGTAATTTTGTAAATATGTTTTCATTTGCTGTAAACAATATGGTTGAACAACATAAAAAATGGGGAAGAATTAATTTAAATTTAATCAAAATTTTAAAAACTTGAAATTTGAAAATTAAAAATTTATTATTATAGTGCAATAGATTAATCCAGTTAAAACTAAAACATTAGTAAAAATTACTCAAAATTTTACAAGAAAATTAAGATTTAAAAGAAAAGCTGAGAAAGCTAATCGTATATGAAAAAACAATGTAATTAGTGTAAATACAATTAAAATAATTCTTAAACTAAAAAAATTCTATTAATTAAACCATTAATAGTTAGTCATTTTGGTAAAAATCCTAGGAAGGGTGGGAGATCCTCCAAAGATAGAAAATTTATAAAGAAAAATCCAAATATTTTAATAGAACTAAAAATTAAAAATAGTTGGGTAGTAAAAAAAATATTTAAATATCAAAAAATTACCACTAAATTCAAATTAATAATTGAATAGATGATAAAGTAAAAAATCCAAATTATTTTAAAATTTATCATACTAGCAAGTATTCAAGCAATATTGTTGATTGAAGAGTAAGCTAGAATTTTTCGTAATCTAATTTATATATATATATATATATATATATATATATATAAAGAATTTTTTAATACATACTAAGATTATCGGAAACTCTATAGAAGTAATTTAATCTTTTTCGATATTTTTGAAATAATGTATTCATAATGTTCGTGAAACAGTAGCTTACTATCCACATATATAATGCCAAGATATTTAATTTTATTAGTGTTTAATTTAAGTTTATTGACATTTAACCAATTCATAATTTTTTCAATATCACTATTTAACAGTTCTAAAGCAGTGTCCAAATGCTTATGTGCTATATATATATATATATATATATATATAACTTGAGACGTGGTAATTGTCGTCTAGACCAGTTAGGTGAAAAATTAAAGCTTCCGCCTTTTGTTGGGTACTTCGACAAAATTTAAGCAAAGAGGACTCTTTATACTTTTTTAATTCTCTCTAGCTCTCAATGGACTTTGCCATCATCATCAGGAGCTGCAATTACAATGATAACAGTAGCAAGTGTAAAATGAATTTAAATTGAATCAACTTACAGTAGTATGTGAGGATGTTGCTAATTGTTGTTTACGTATAGGATGAGGGAAACGTCCAGTAACATGGTGAGAGCTGGATAGATGGTACAATGGTCAAAATTATATAAAATATGACAAGAACAAGTTTAAAACAGATTAAAAATTATTTAAAAAACATTAGAGCATTACATCGTGAAGCCACTTGATGATTGCACAAAATGGTGGTCATGGAATAATGAGTGAGATGAAACCCTTTGACAGAAGGACGAAGGTTGTGAATGTCTGTGTTGAAAGATGGAACGAATTGTGGGCGTGTGCCAAACGTTGCCAGATCACTTCAGTGGCTTCACGATGTAATGCTCTAATGTTTTTTAAATAATTTTTAATCTGTTTTTAACTTGTTCTTGTCATATTTTATATAATTTTGACCATTGTACCATCTATCCAGCTCTCACCATGTTACTGGACGTTTCCCTCATCCTATACGTAAACAACAGTTAGCAACATCCTCACATACTACTGTAAGTTGAGTCAATTGAAATTCATTTTACACTTTTGTTGCTACTGTTATCATTGTAATTGCAGCTCCTGATAATGATGGCAAGGTCCATTGAAAGCTAGAGAGAATTAAAAAAGTATAAAGAGTCCTCTTTGCTTAAATTTTGTCGAAGCACCCAACAAAAGGCGGAAGCTTTAATTTATATATATATATATATATATATATATATATATATATATATATAAATGTATCGTCCGCAAATATTTGAATTTTGCAGTGTTCTAAAATGTCACAGATATAGTTTATATAAATAATAAATAGTAACGGCCCTAATTTACTCCCCTGTGGCACCCCTACTGATATATTTTGAATACTTGACATAAAATTTCCAACTTTAGTTTTTATTTTTCCCTATCTATAGTCTCAAATGCCCTTTTGAAGTCTAACAATATTGTTACAATATATTCCTTCTCATCTATACTTCTTCTCCAGTCTTCCACCACCATTTGGATTGCCGTTTCTGTGAAACATTTTTTTTCTAAATGCAGCTTGATTTTTTATCAAAATTTTGGTTTCTTCAATGAATTCTATGACTTGTTCGAACATCTCCTTGACATCCGGGAAGACATATTTGTATACAGCTGAGAATTTTGAACTTTGGGCACAGGAGTAATGGTGGAACACTTCAATTTTGATGGGAATTCACCATGTACTAAACAATGATTCACCAGTATTAATAATTTCTTTCCAATTATATTGAAACAATCATTAGAATATTTTTTGAGAGATTCTCACTTGGATTCTTATTAGATTTCAATTTTGAGATAGCTTTTCTTAGATTGTTGATGTTAATTGTCCTAAATTGCTTCATTGATGAATTCTGACATACATGTTATGAATCGTCTTCACTATTTGATTTACACTTTCTATAAAATAAGTGTTGATTCTTACTGCCATAATTAATTTGTCTCTCGCTACCCCATCTTCGAAACGCATTTTAGGAGAAACGATGTTTTCCACATCATTTTATAATTATTTTTATTGCTATCGATCTTCTTATCATCGTATTTTTTCTGAATTTCATTTTCCTGGCCTAATACTTTGTGGGGTGCTTTAGGTTATCCGGGGTCACGTCCAACATTCAAAAGTTACGTAACGCCTTTGACGAGGACAGAATACCAAATCTGTACACAGAGGATGTCCTCCAAGACGTGCACTCTGTCGCATCTTTATTAAAGATGTATTTTAGGTAAGTCCAATAGAGAGCGAGTACATTTTTTCCAAATGCGTTAACGAATAACCTTTTAGGGAATTACCGAATCCTCTGTGTACCTATCAACTATACCAAAGCTTTGTGAATGCCGTGCAAGGATGCAGCGGCGGGGTGCGTAACTCCGAAACGGACCACGAAAGGCTGCTGAAGATGAGGGAAACCGTACAAAAATTGCCGCCGCCTCATTACAGGTATGCTTCAAATTGTATCAAAGTAATCTCTTTCCTGTCTTTTCTTTCTACTTAGGGCCCCAAATTCATTATCAGCAATTTGACTGGGAATTTTTCCAGACGGCGCTATTTTTGCATTTATGATAATTTCATACTAAAACAAATCAAGTAAGGTACAATTCTCGTTAGAGAAAACATTACTGACGACAATATGGTGGTGAACCAGTAAATTGTGGTTTTTACGATTATAGGACCTTGGAGTATCTGATGAGGCACTTGGCTAAAGTAGCGAAACACGGTGCGAGCACTGGCATGACTACAAGAAACGTCGCGATTGTATGGGCGCCTAATTTGCTACGGTGCGAGGAACTGGAGGTCGGTGGAGTAGCTGCACTGCAAGGTGTTGGTGTACAGGTAAAAAAGTTAACGATAATATTTATTTGCAAATATAGTAAATGACAAAGAAACTGCAACACCGACTAGGGGTGCTGTAATTTTGAGCATACTTTTACAAGTTTTAGGTCTACTGATAAAAAGCTGAGATATCCCACCTTAATGTTAATAATGTGTTCTGTTCGCTACACATTCGTTAAGTCATCGTGGCATTGACTGGATTAGGTGATTGATCTCTTCTTGGTGTATTGTGACCCAGGCCATCTGAATTTCGTTTCGTAGAGTCTCCAGTGTTTGTGGAGGGTGCGGTTAATTTTATAACCTTCTTCCTATCATGTCCAATTCATGTTCGATAGGAAAAAAGCCTGGAGATCGAGACTGCAGCCTAAACTTTGGGTCGTGCATTGTCCTGCTGAAAAAGTGGATCTTGCAATGCTTCCAAAAAGGGAAGCAGTTGTGGTTGTAAAACTCCGTATCAATTCGACAAGAACATGTTGCGAAGAATATCTGGTTGGACATGTCCTGATGAGACACTAGGAATTTTGTATCAGGATTACAGAGATGACGGGAGGTATCGAACTTACACATGATATATTTGAATTCCAATTCTATTAAGAGCAAGCTGATGTTTCTACCTCTTCGCGTTTCTGCGATCCTGATAGCAAATACATGCCAATTCAACTCGAAGGTTTTGCGAAGTTGTTGTTTGTTGTTTCAGATTTATTTAGCATTAATGCTGCAATATCCTTAATATCCATATTGCACAGTATATCACAAAATATATGTCTTCATATTTTTATACAAAATTTCACTACTATGAATTCTGGTTTTCCGTGAGATATTTTTTTCAATTTCCCTTTGAACATTTTCAAACTGACACACATCTTGATATCATTGCTTAATTTATTAAATTCGTACAGTCCCTTTTAAAATACTGACTTGCTCCTTATATTGCTACTGCAGTTTTGTAAACGAAAGTCTATACTTCCTCTAGTAGAATAATTGTGGCACTCATTGTTCAATACAATAAAATTTTCTGAGTGATTTGGTAGAAGATGATTTTTTAACTTGAATATGAAAATGAAAACCAAGTAGGCTATGAAATTTTTAATATTTAACCATTGTAGTTCTTTCAGCATTAAATTTATTCTAGTATATTTATTTTTATTTAAGATGATTCTCATAGCTTTATTTTGTAATATTTGTAATTTCGAAAATACAGTTTCATTTGCAGTGGACAAAATAGTTAAACAATATAACAAATGAGGAAGAATGATAGTGCTGTACACAATTTTTTTAGAAAAAAACGCTTAAGCTATGCGAAATTCTATAAAAGTAATTTATTTTCTTGGATATTTTTGAAATAATATATTCATAGTGCCTTTCAAATTTTAATTTACTGTCTACGTATATGCCCAAATATTTAAATGATTCGATTCACACAATTTTTTCATTATTAATTGTAAGATTTATCATATTTTGATCTAAAGATTTTGATATTAGCATATGTTTTGTTTTGTTTGTGTTTAAGTTTATTTACATTTAACCAATTTATTACGTTTTTCATATCATTAGTAACAGCTCTATTGCAATTTCAATTTCTTTATTTGATATATATAAGTTATGTACCAGTCTACAGAGAAGAATATGCTGAACAAGGACTTTTGCCTCCACGTTCCTTTCTTATCAGTTTCAGTATTGTATTTCATTTGTTCTTTACTTTGGTTTGTATAATGAACTTTGCAGCCAGTCTCGATTCAGAACTCATTCAATTAACATCATTGTATTTGGTTATTCTCAAAAATAAATCTTTTTAAAAACGTTTTCGTTGAAGAAAGATATTTGAGTTATATATATATATATATATATATATATATATAGGTGAAAAATTAAAGCTTCCGCCTTTCGTTGGTTACTTCGACAAAATTTAAGCAAAGAGGACTCTTTATACTTTTTTTTAATTCTCTCTAGCTTTCAATGGACTTTGCCATCATCATCAGGAGCTGCAATGACAATGATAACAGTAGCAACAAAAGTGTAAAATGAATTTAAATTGAATCAACTTACAGTAGTATGTGAGGATGTTGCTAATTGTTGTTTTCGTATAGGATGAGGGAAACGTCCAGTAACATGGTGAGAGCTGGATACATGGTACAATGGTTAAAATTATATAAAATATGACAAGACAAGTTAAAGACTGATTAAAAATTATTTAGAAAACATTAGAACATTACGTCGTGAAGCCACTTGATGATTGCACAAAATGGTGGTCATGGAATAATGAGTGAGATGAACCTTTGACAGAAGGCCGAAGGTTGTCAATATCTGTGTTGAAAGATGGAACGAATTGTGGGCGTGTGCCAAAACGTTGCCAAATCACTTCAGATGATGTGATTTTCAGAATGTTATGTAAGAAATTGTTAAACCGACCAGAGGCAGTTGAATAAACTATATTTTAATTGATGGGAATTTTAAATTAATAATTATTAATAAATCGTGAGAAGAGAATTATTAGATTTTGAGTGGAATGAAATTTGTTGGTGGAACAAATTTCGACTTTTCACAACCATAAATATAATCTGTGTTTTGGCCGATTCCACCAACAAATTTCATTCCAATCAAAATCTAATAATTCTCTTCTCACGATTTATTAATAATTATTAATTTAAAATTCCCATCAATTAAAATATAGTTTATTCAACTGCCTCTGGTCGGTTTAACAATTTCGTACATAACATTCTGAAAATCACATCATCTGAAGTGATTTGGCAACGTTTTGGCACACGCCCACAATTCGTTCCATCTTTCAACACAGACATTGACAACCTTCGGCCTTCTGTCAAAGGGTTCATCTCACTCATTATTCCATGACCACCATTTTATGTAATCATCAAGTGGCTTCACGACGTAATGCTCTAATGTTTTCTAAATAATTTTTAATCTGTCTTTAACTTGTCTTGTCATATTTTATATAATTTTAACCATTGTACCATGTATCCAGCTCTCACCATGTTACTGGACGTTTCCCTCATCCTATACGAAAACAACAATTAGCAACATCCTCACATACTACTGTAAGTTGATTCAATTTAAATTCATTTTACACTTTTGTTGCTACTGTTATCATTGTAATTGCAGCTCCTGATGATGATGGCAAAGTCCATTGAAAGCTAGAGAGAATTAAAAAAAGTATAAAGAGTCCTCTTTGCTTAAATTTTGTCGAAGTACCCAACAAAAAGCGGAAGCTTTAATTTTTCACCTATACATGGTGTGTCCGGAAAGTAATGAGCTTCATTTATTTGTGACGCAGCTTGGCAACGTAGCGCAATGCGACCAGTTGGGATGGGTGGGGGGAACCTTCAGCTTTACAGTGGTACACTTGCCAGTTACCTCCGACCTCTTGGAGAGTGTGTACGCTGATTTTTGTTAGCCCTTGTTTTGCGACATCGTCGAAGTTACGATGGAAAAAACTTTAGAGCAAAGATACGCGATAAAGTTTTGTGTGAAACTAAACAAAACACCGAAGGAGACATTGGATTTGCTTCAAACAGCGTTTGGGGATGCCTGCCTGTCATATTCACAAATAAAAAAGTGGCACAAGTCGTTCCGGGAAGGGCGACAGGAGGTCGATGACGAAATGCGTACCACGAGTTTGTACTCCCTGGCCAGACCGTCAATGCTCAATTTTACAAAGAAGTTCTTCAAAGACTGAAACACAGGGTTGCCCGCGTTCGAAGAGAAATTCGATCTTCATGGAAACTCCACCACGACAACGCACCGTCCCATACCGCCTTTGTTACCGTCGCCTACTTGACTCGGATCGGTGTCACGACGGTGCCCCAGCCACCGTACAGTCCCGATCTGGCTCCAGCGGACTTCTTTTTGTTTCCTCGACTAAAAAGGGGCCTCAAGGGACAGCATCTGGACACCCTAGAGAACATTGAAGCTACTTCGACGGCCTCCCTGAACAGCATCTCAGTCGAGGAGTTCCAGGGAGCATACGCGGCTTGGAAATCACGCTGGCAAAAGTGTATCGATGCAGGAGGGTGCTACTTCGAAGAATATTGAGTTTATTTACTCAAATGATCAATAAATGATGAAATAAAAAATAGAGCTCATTACTTTCCGGACAAACCCTGTATATATATACAGGGTGGGGCATAACTGTCTCCCTATTTTCAAAGCTTAATAAAACAAATGTTATTTGGAATACTATGGATTTATTTTGAAATCTTAAAAGTGCAACTCAAACAGTTTTATTTTATGTGGTTTTGAAAATAATATCGGCAAGGTGCTTTCCACCATTATCACAGCATTGCCGCAAGCGCTTTCTGAAGTTCGGGGGAGCGCGCAGGCCAAGGAATATCGCCTCTAAGGGAGATCAAGCGTCCGGAGAACAGTTCTCTCAAAATGCCTAATGATGCTCGGGATGTGTGGGCTGTCGCCCCATCCTGCTGAAACCAGGCATTCTGCACATTGAATTCTGCAAGAGATGGGACAAAAAAGTTCTGAATCATCGCTACGTAGCGTTCCGAGTGGACGGTGACAGCCCGATTACCTTCTTCAAAAAAGTAAGGCCCAACCGGGCGGCACCGAATGGAAGTGGGGATAGCGTCAGTACAAGCGGCAAGTTGAACAGTTTCAGGTTAGAACAGGTTTCAATTTGAAACAGCATGTGGACCGACGCACAGCGCGCTTTCGCCGTGGAAGCGTACATCCACGAAAATGGATCCGTTATCGCTGCACAACGAGCGTTCCGTATGCAATTTGAAATTCCTCGTAACCGACCAGTGCCAGACCGAAAATCAATTGTTTTGTGGGTGAAAAATTTCAGAGCAACTGGAACTGTTATCAGGAGAGAAGATGGACGTCCACGAACAGCTCGGACGCCCGAAAACATAGAGAGAGTCAGACGCTCAGTGGAACACTCGCCCAACCGCTCTGCACGCAGACATGCAGACGCCCTTCGCCTCTCTAATCGCTCTTTACGAAGAATTCTTCATCAAGACCTACATTTTCATCCATACAAGATGGTTATTGTACAGGAATTATCACCACGTGATTGGAACAATCGACTAGCTGCATGTCAAGACATGATTGCAAAGTTACCTCAGGAGGCGGTTTTTTTTAGTGACGAGGCTCATTTTTATTTGTCTGGCTGCGTGAACAAACAAAATTTTCGGTTCTGGTGTGCCGAAAACCCAAGAGAGATACACGAAAAGCCTCTGCATAGTGAGAAAGTCACAGTTTGGTGCGCCGTGTCAGAAACTGGGATAGTTGGGCCTTACTTTTTTGAAGAAGGTAATCGGGCTGTCACCGTCAACTCGGAACGCTACGTAGCGATGATTCAGAATTTTTTTGTCCCAGCTCTTGCAGAATTCAATGTGCAGAATGCCTGGTTTCAGCAGGATGGGGCGACAGCCCACACATCCCGAGCATCATTAGGCATTTTGAGAGAACTGTTCCCCGGACGCTTGATCTCCCTTAGAGGCGATATTCCTTGGCCTGCGCGCTCCCCGGATTTGTCGCCTTGCGATTTCTTTCTGTGGGGCTATCTTAAGGCTCAAGTCTTTCAACATCGTCCAAGGACCTTACCACAGCTGAAGGAGGCAATCCGTCTGGAAATTGGCCGAATACCGCAAGCAATGTTAGTTAGAGTTATGCAAAACTTCAGAAAGCGCTTGCGGCAATGCTGTGATAATGGTGGAAAGCACCTTGCCGATATTATTTTCAAAACCACATAAAATAAAACTGTTTGAGTTGCACTTTTAAGATTTCAAAATAAATCCATTGTATTCCAAATAACATTTGTTTTATTAAGCTTTGAAAATAGGGAGACAGTTATGCCCCACCCTGTATATATATATATAAGCGGTAATAATCTTTCCGCTGCGACATTTCTGTTTTCAGGCTGTGGTAACCGAGTTCCTGATCTGTTACGCGGACTTGATATTCTGTGATCGTTTGCCGAATCTGGACGCTCCCTCTCTAGCCGCGGAGAGTCTGCTGATGAAAAAGTGCCGACCGAACAGCTTGGCGATATCCACTCCGACCAAACTGATCACTTTAGAGGAGGCTAGAAGCAAACATTTGCCGGGAAAAACGGACGAATGCAATTATATAGAAGTAGGAGGAGGCCCGAAAAATCTACCAAAGAATTACCATACTGTCATCGAGTTGCCGTCAGGTAAGGCTACTTGCGGAGAACTGTAATTGTAAATGCACTTCACCCAACCCATTTACGGGAGGAGGCTTTTTCCAGTTCTACTAACATTGGGCTACTTAAGGAGCGAGAGAAATCCAGATTTTTCGGTGATCTTTGAGAGGCTGTATTTCGGTGAAAAATGGTCGTATCTAGACTTTAAAAAGAGCATCTTGAAGCTTTGAGATTCTAGTTTCTAGGTTTTTCATTTTACAGACAACGCAAGAAAAAAATGCATAAAAGAAAAGGATCTTTTTTCATTTAAAGTCAGATATCTAGTGTATCATTAATCTGTGATTGTCACACTGACAGTGTCAAACATCGTTGAAGAACACTTATTTTATATTATGTTAAATTATCGAGCTAATCAGATAAAACTAAAGAAACATTATGGCATGAAAGTGATACTGGCAGTTTTACTGTGAACTGCAGAAAAACGTTTAAAAAAATGTACATGAAGAGTAAGGTTTCGAAATAAAACTAAATCTGTGTGTTTTGCGATTTTCAGGTGCAAGAAAACGAAGCCATACAAAGCGATCTCCGTTAGGTTGGAAACTATTCTTTACTAGGTCGAGGAACAGCTCTCAGGGTAACCTGAAGAACAGAAAAGTATCTACTCCCATCACAATAAATGTAAGTGATACGTTAATCGCCGTTTTTGAAATGGATAGGTATTTATGCGACATAAGGACTAGATCGGTTCTTCTATCTCGTAACAACATTTCTGTGTTCCTGAGTTCCTCAGGGAAGTGTTTTCGGGCCGTTGTTTGTTTGTGTATGATATGGAACTTGTTCAGATGAGTAGCTCCACAAATCTATTTGCTGATGACACGTTGGTGGATCCAGCCCGCAAAAACCCGGATCAGGATGTCGATATTGTAAACTGTGATCTTGCATATCTAAAAATGAACGAATTGTAGCTGAATGCAAAAAAAAAACAAAAGCGATGATTACACTGGTCAACACTGGTTTTGCCACACGAACTTTGACAGCTAATTTTGTTTTATCAGTAGATCACATGACAGCTGTCATATGTCTATTAGCCTCATATTTGTTGTGATACGGTAATACTCATAACTAGTACTACGGCAGTAAATTAACAGAAACGCTTACAAGTAAATCCTTACAAAAATATTTGTTGTTGAAGTTGAACACTTTTTTGTGATTTATTAACCCTGTCAATATGTCGAGGAAGTGTAATAATGATCCTAACTCTTTTTGTTATGTCTGCGGAGAACTAACATTCAAAAAACAACGACGAAATTTTACGAATCTTGCGTTGAAGTGTTATCAGCAATGTTTTGGTTTTTCTGTCGCCCATCAAGACAAATCCTGGGCCACTCATGTCTGTTGCATAACGTGTGTGAAAAATTTAACTGACTGGAAGAAAGGTGCACGACCTATGCCGTTTGCTGTACCCATGATATGGACTGAACAGCGAGATCACGTTTCAGATTGCTATGTTTGTCTCACAGACATAAAAGGTATAAATTACAAGAAAAAAAAACACAGTTATTTACCCTAACTTATCTTCGGCTATAAGACCAGTCTCTCATTGTAAAAAATTGCCAGAAGTAATACCAGTTGCAACTACGTCTGTTGAGAACAATTCACAACCGTCCACTTCAGGTGAATGTGTTGATGAGGACGATGACTTTGATTTAAAAGGAATTGTAAACGAGCCACATTTGATAACTCAAGGAGGCCTAAATGATTTGGTTCGGGATTTAAATTTGTCAAAAAAGCAGTCAGAACTATTAGGATCACGTCTAAAAGAATGGAATTTGCTACATCATAATACAAAAGTTAGCTATTTTCGAAACCGTGATCAACACTTCAGAACGTATTTCTCTCAGGATGGAGATTTGGTGTTTTGCAATAACATAAATGAGATTATGAAAATGTTGTACATAGATTTTGATCTCTGTCAGTGGCGTTTATTCATTGATTCTTCGAAAGCAAGTCTAAAAGCAGTGTTATTGCATAATGGAAATAAGCTTCCGTCTGTACCTCTGGCCCATGCTGCAAATATGAAAGAAACCTATGAAAATATGAAACTTTTACTTGAAAAAATAAATTACAGTACATATTCCTTCAAAATCTGCGGTGATCTTAAAGTTGTTGCACTATTACTTGGACTTCAGCTGGGTTATACAAAGTTTTGCTGCTTTTTATGTGAATGGGATAGCCGAGACAGAACTAATCACTATATAAAAAAAACATGGCCTATGCGTGCATCGTTAGTTCCTGGGCAAAAAAACGTAAAGTATTTACCCCTTGTACAGCCAAATAATGTGCTTCTACCACCATTGCATATCAAATTAGGATTAATAAAAAAATTTGTGAAGGCAATGGCTCGCAATGGGAGTGGATTTTTGTATCTAAAAGAAAAATTCCCTAAAATAAGTGATGCAAAGATAAAAGAGGGTATTTTTGTTGGCCCTCAAATTAGGGAGTTAATAAAAGATTCAAGATTTGAAGAAAAATTAAGCAATTTAGAAACATCTGCATGGAAGGCTTTTAAAAATGTTGTTGCAAATTTTTTGGGTAACCACAAGAGTGACAGCTACAGAGAGTTGGTTAGCGAGCTATTATTGTCATATCAAGCATTGGGTTGCAACATGTCACTTAAGATCCATTTTTTAGACTCGCACCTGGATTTAGGGGCTGTCAGCGACGAGCACGGTGAGAGGTTCCATCAGGACATTTCTAATATGGAAAAGCGGTACCAGGGCAAATGGAGCCCAAATATGTTAGCAGATTACTGCTGGACAATTAAAAGGGACCAACCAGAAGCTAAATATTCAAGAAAATCTTAGATTATTAAGTCATTTATAAAAAAAAATAACTTTTGATTTACGAGATCTGTGATTTTTCTTAATATTTTAAATTACTCAATAGAATACAATCCTTGTCTAGCAAATTTTTTTTAACTGTTTATTTTTTCTTACAATCACCAATTAAAGTAAAAAATATCAAAAAAGTCCCTGTGGCACGACAAAGTTAAAATTTTGTTGACTAGTGTTATATCAAGTAGAAACAAAAACAGGAATATGCGAGGGTGGATCATTTTACAAATGATGTTGTGTTCAAAAACTATTCCCAATAAATGTAAACGACCATATTTAATAAAAATACCCGATATATGGAAATCAGTGTTTCGTTTTCAAAGTTATTTCATGTTTACATACCGACATAAAAGATGGCGCACCCTGTAGAAAAATAATGTTTTATGAATAAGTAAAGTTTATATTTGATCTGCCCTCGTAATATTCATTTTTTTCAATTTAGCAATACAATGATTTAATGTTCAATTATTAAAGTGCGGCACTTTTCCTCTCTAATGCGCAAAACACCTTGTGAGTGATCACGTCCCGTTGTTTTGCAGGAAAAATCCGTTACCGAGTCTGATTTGACAGACATGAAAAGAAAACTCAGGTCGGTAAAATCAGCTGAAAGTTTGACGTCTGGACATTCTGAACCGACTGGGAATGATGACGTTCTCGGACCGCTACAAAGTCTGTCTAAACCACCCGGCCACAACAGGTAAATATAGATATGTTTAATATACAGGGTGACGGGAAAATGGATGCGGAGTCGGTGGGGGGAGATAGTACAAGCCAATCTGAGTCGATTTTACTGTAGGAACTACTAATTAGCCGTTTTTTAATTATACTAATTTTTAAGATTTCATAAAATTAACGTCCTTTATACATTAGCCAAGTCATAAAACTTGAAAATTGGGTGTTTTATTTGATTTTTTTTGGTTTTACAATAAAAATACAGCAGACGCTCGATAATGTAAACTAATTTAATCCAAGTGTGGTTCACATTATCGAAATGTTTACATTAGCGAACGTGATTTATATAATATTTGATTTATTAAAAGAAACGTTTAATACATACTATTTATAACAAAATAAACAAATATTCTAACAGCGATAAGTATTTTTTTAATTAGAAGAAAAATAATTAACAATTTTTGTCTGCGTAAATTTGCGCTTAGCATTGTCTTCCAATGCCTGCGCCCGTAATTTACGAAGAACTAAAATATCCGTGTATGAAACTTCTTTTCTTTCAGCCCAATCTAAAGCTTGGTTAAAAACTTGTATAGCTTGCGCGTCAGTCACTACACTTCTGACTTCAATGGGATCGTTCTCATCATCCTCACTGTCCATATCCTCCTCCTTATCAGCATCATTCATCTGCTTATCTTCGTTCCATAAATTAATATCAGCAGGAGTACAAACAATGTTGGGATTCACTGTTTTCGATAAATCAACAACATCCAATGACACACTAATAATAACATTATCATTATTGGATCGCAAACGTTCTCTAATTACGCTTAAGGGGACATCGTCTTCTTCATCATCTTCATTATTGGTACAAAAGAGATTGTTCCAACATTTTTGAATAGTTTGCTGGTTAAGTTCATTCCAGGCCATATGTAAATCTAAAACAGCTTCTCGTAATGTTACTTTTTTTAAAGCCTCAGATAAGTTTTCAGGATTCTTTGATAAGACAGACGAAAGTAGAAACTTCCTATAGTATAGTTTGGCGAGTCTTATTATATTCTGGTACATCGGTTGAATTAACGGTGTTACGTTGGGCGGCATGTACATGACGATAATTGACCCATCCCTGCTCCTCAGTTGTTGCTCAGGAGGATGACTTGGTGCATTATCTAATAGTAACAACGCTTTTATTGGAAGCTTCTGTTGTTTTAGGGAACCTTGTACGTACACATTGAAAACACATCTTCAAATTATGAATAGAGCATTTGTGATAATTGATTGTCATACCTGAGGGACAAAGCACCTGTGGAACCATTTCAGGAATATACTGCTAGTCATCCAAGCGGTTTTTGAACAGTCATAATCAACAGGGATATTAACATTTTTAAATGAGCGCGGATTTTTTGCTTTCCCAATTACCAGTGGCTTTATTTTGTGTGAACCATTAGCATTAGTGCAGCTAGAAACGTTATTCGTTGTTTCTCCGGCTTTCTTCCCGGGGCAGATTTTTCAAATGATGCAGCATAGGTTTTCTCTGGTAACATTTTCCAATAAAGGCCACTTTCATCTGCGTTGTAAATTTGTTCCATTCTTAAATCTAGCTCGGTAATTGTTTTCATCAATTTTTCTTTGAATGGTTGCACTAATTGTGGTTGTGCTGATAATTTTTCACCAGATATAGACAGCAGTCGAATTCCATATCTTGTTTTGAGTCGTTGTAGCCAGCCATCACTAGCTACGAAATTTTCAGTTTCTTTCAGTTTTTCATTTAACAGTCTCGCTCTCTGTTTAAGTACTTCGCCACTAACTGGGACATGATTTTCCCGTTGTTTTAAAAACCACTTATACAGGGAATTTTCCATTCTAGGCGCCTTCGCATTTTTCTAAGTTTTTCTTTTTTCCGGACCTCCAAATGTATTGCACGTTCTTTGTAAAATTTGAGTTTTCATACGCTTAATTTTACAGATTGTTGCTTTCGATACTCCATATTTTTTTGCTAACTGTGTCACTCCCGCACCTAGTGCAACTTCGTCTATGATTTTCACTTTCTCACTCAACTTTAAACACTTTCTTTTATAAGATGTGGATGCCATAGTCGTAAAATATATTAACGCGTGCAATGTATTCACTTAAGATCAAAAATGAAATACATACGTACGTATAAACGTATCCTAAACGATCATACGACTGACCGAGTTTGTCGTATTTTATCGCAGAGGTGAATCCCCTAACACTCTACATCATAAATCGGGGACTCCCCGACGCCCGACATAAATCATCGAGGCTTCAGCATTTTACCGTCGCGCTGTTTCCGTGCGCCGATAGTTGTTTACGTTATCGAGCGTACACATTGTTTACGTTATCGCGCGTTCCGTTTGATCCTATAGAACGAAGTTTGTGTTTACATTAGCGCAAGTTTTCATTATCCCGTGTTTACGTTATCGAGCGTCTGCTGTATTCTAAAATACGAAAATTGATACTGAAATGTACATTATTGACGTTATCTCATGCAGTAATGTTCTCGGTTGAGTTCCATTTTTCTAATGACTTGGTGACACTTAGAAATTCACTGTATTGTGAAACTTTGAATTTAAGTTTACTAAAGAGTGACGTTACGATTCAGTACTGACGTTCGATCAGCGTGGCCTACTGTTTCTATATGCAAAACTTAAAAGACATCCCTCGTATTTGTGTGCTTTACATTTAACTATAATTCAGTAATCGGTATGTATCATTTCAGGTCTGTTTCACATGACTCCTACTTCGATACGTTACAAGTTTCACAAAATAACTCTGAAGGATCTCTACTAGACTTAAGTGAAATACAGCTCAATTTTGAGTTGGAGGAGTCGGAAATGAGGATATTCTCAGAAGATGAAAGCTTAGTCAGTTCTCCAAGAATACAGAAGGAGGTGAGAGGTTTATAATGAAAATGTTTAGTACAATTTCAATTGTCAAGTCGTCGTGGAAGGATCTGTATAAATAATGCAAATGGAAAGAAAAATATCAAGCATAGTTATGTATAAATCTTTTTGAAGGTGTCCCCCTTCCGTGTTGATTGAAACCATTATTTCGAAGAATAATAAGTTGTTAGTAAAATCAGACCGCCTAAGTCTGCCAAAAAAGCACCCTGCCGCATGATTAACGAAAAAATTTCGTTTCAGCCGTCGCGCAGGATCTTCAGCCGCGCCAGACCGGAGGAGTTCACTTCGGCGACGAGCTCCGTAAATCCGTCTCCGAAAAAACAGCCTCGAGTGATCATGTCGCCGGAGTCTCAGTCGCGCAAGCGTACAAGGCTCGAGGACCAGTTGTCCGACATTCAGTACATCGACTGTAACACGCCGGAGAACGTGGTCGTCTCGACGACGGCCGTCATCCACAGTCTTCCGGAAAGCCCCCCTGCCCACACGGTACGAATTTAAACATTGCTAATTGAAGAAGATTCTCGCTGCACATATGCGACTATAGAGGCAACTCTTGGGGCAGGATCCGCAACAGTGCGCGGCATTTTGCGTGATCCATTTAGTAGTGATTTCGTACTGTTTTATATTCAAGAACCTTTATTTACAATGCCGTTAAATATTACAACAGTATTAATTTTCATTTTAAAAATATTGCTAATATTAAAACTTTTAAATTAAAATTGAAGTCCGATCTTCTCTCGCAAACATGAATTGCCACTTATATTTTTTTATTGGTTAATGATGGTTGATTTAAAAAAAAAATCCCTTTGATCACAGTTTTGTTGGTTTAAAACAAACCGATTTAAATGTATGTACCATAGTTATTGTCATCCACTTCTATGTAATTTCGTATAAATTATCAAAACGGGGTTAGGTGGAAGAATAGCTCACGCTAAACCTCGCCCCTCGTAATGTACTAAATGTTTAGTGCAATAAAGACCCTTTATTATTATTATTATTATTATTTATGTTTACCACAAAATACAGATCACATTATTCGATTGTACCACTTTAGACTATGCATACTGGTATGCACATATACAGTTCAAATTATTTGGGAAACGTTATGATCTTTGTACTTTTTACCGTTCACCAAACAGTGATGCGGATACATTTTTAACGTTTTTTGAAGAAAAATGCGAAGAAATGTGGAATTTTAGAAACAATATAATACTTTTAGGTGATTTTAATTTAAATTGTTATGGTAATAGCATGAAAACAAGAAAATTGAAAGAAACCATAAATAGCTGTGAGTTCAAGCAAAAAATTGAAGAGTGTACCAGAATAACATCGTTATCAAAGACTTTGTTAGATCTTGTTATTGTAAATTTCGAATGTGCAGGGATTAAAGCTGTACATACACCTAAAGTTAGTGATCACAGTTGGACAATGCTGCCCTTGGTAGGGCATTTTTCTGATACAAAAATTAAGAAAATCGTAAATACTATTATGTACGAAAAACCTGAACGAGAACTTGCTGGCTGCTATTGGAATTTTTGTGAGAATATGGAAAAAATATATGACAACATAATAGGAAATATAAAGACTTGTTTAGATCTTGCAACTGATAAAAAAGTGGTTTGCTCGACAAAAAATACACCCTGGTATAACAAAAATATAAAGCAGCTCAAAATTTGAGAGACAAACAATACAATAAATGTATATTCACAAAATCAAATGATGATTGGGAGGTATATAACACTCTTAGGAATAAATGTGTGTATGTAATTAGAGAAGAAAAAAGGAAATTCTACGATAAACAAATCGATAATAACGAGTGCGACAGTGTAAAGATGTGGAAAACTTTAAAAAGACTGATCAATTCGAAGCTGCATGATTGTGTAAATCAAGTTCAATTCGAAAACGGTACCGAAACAAATTCTTTGGTGATTGCAGACAAACTAAATGAATATTTTGTGGAAAGTGTTGTTGATATTGTGGGTACTGCCAATACTGCACCTGACTATATGAAAATCAGTTTCCAGGGGGAAATGTTGCATACACTTTCAAAATTTCACAGTGTATCATTGAATTATCTAAGAAAAAAAGTAAACAGTTTAAAATCAAATAAGAACTGTGCCGAAATCACTACTAAAAACGTGCTGAAAAACTGTTTCGAAATTTTGGGATATCCTGTATTAAATTGGATCAATTGTTCACTGAGAAGCAGTTCTTTTCCTGAAAATTTGAAATGCTCTACAATAACACCAGTTCCCAAAATAAAAAATTCTAAAAGATGCAGCGATATGAGACCAGAAAATGTGTTACCAGACATTGAAAAATTATTAGAGTCCATAGTGCATGACCAATTATTGCAGTTTATAGAAGAAAACAAAATTGTAGTGCAGGCGCAAGCAGACTTTCTAAAAAAATATTCCACAGAAACAGCTTTCCAGTTGGTAACTGAGAATTGGAGAAGAGCCATAGACTCAGAAGAAGTTGTCATAGCAGTATTTTTGGATTTGAAGAGGGCATTTGAAACGATTGATAGAGATATTTTGTTAGGTAAATTGAAGGCATATGGTATAACAGGAAGTGTTTTAGATTGCTTTAGAAATTATTTGTCTAAAAGGATGCAAGTTACAAAAGTTAATGACACTATTTCATCAAAAATTGAAAATACGTTGGGTGTTCCACAGGGCAGTATCCTGGGACCACTTCTTTTTATTTTATACAAAAATGATTTACCTGCCATAGTCAAAAAATGCAAAGTTCAGATTTTCGCCGATGACACTATGATTTATATACATGTAAGTACTAAAAATATTCAGTCTGGTATCTCTTATATAAATGAAGACTTGAAACTTGTCTCAAAATGGTTAGCATCGAACAGACTACAATTAAATACAAGTAAAACGAAAGCCTTGTTAATCGGAAAAAACAATGTACAAATGTTCAACTGAATATTGATGGTGAAGATATTGAATTCGTAGAAAATTTTAAATACCTGGGGGTTTTTGTTGACTCTCGATTAATTTTTGATATTCATTATGAAAAAGTTATAAATAAGATTAGTAGTAAAGTGGGATATTTATCGAGAGTGTCTGGATGTCTGAGTTCATATAGCAGAAAAATTATCTATAATACCATCATTCTTCCAAATTTCTTGTACTGTTCGCCTATTCTATATTTAGCAAATAATTCCATTTTTGAAAGACTGCAAATTTTACAAAATAAGTGCATGAGAATAATACTAAATAAAGATAAATATACTCCAATTAGGCAAATGCTTAGCAAATTAAAATGGCTCAATGTAAAAAAATTTATCAAATATCTTGTAATGATATTCATTTATAAAGTAAAAAATAATATATTTCCATCAAGTCTAACTAATTTAACATCATCAAATGTCGACCATCATTTACATAATACCAGAAATAAAGATGACTTCCATTTAATGACCAAAAAGTATAACATATGCTACAAATCTGTATTCCATCAAGGGTTGATTGAACATAACAAATTATACTCGGAGATAAAAGACCAGAAAAGTTTGACAAAATTTAAAGTAAAATTGAGAAATCACTTGTTAAATCTACAATTATAGGTTGCCCAGCATTTACATCATACACCATATGGCTTGAATTTACTAGTTCTAAGTTGTTTACAATTATTCTGTTTATCTAGCCAAATGTGCTAAATAAATCTTTCTACTACTACTACTATTTAAAAAAGGCGATATGGATGTCACGTCAGGTTACTGATGACGCCAGCGCCACATCAAA